TCACGGGGCAATAATAGGAAAGTTTCACAAAGAATCTCAGTAGGAAGGGAGTCAGCCATGGTTGGCAGCGCAGAAGTAGATGAAACAGAAAAGAAACAGAGATGTCGACGCAAAGCAGGATATGCGGGTGCGAATAGCATTAAGTAGTGCCTATTAGGAAGGAGAGCTGATCAACAATTGGCTGTGGCCACTCCTACGTCACAAGCCCTATCAAGGACTGGAAGGGGAGCTGGAGCTATGGTGAGACTGAAGTGGAAGGAAGCCCCGTCGGTGTGATGACTTCTGCGAACTTCCATATCTAAAATTGGCTTTTTCTCTCTCATTCGGTGCGCCGACTGCTCTGGATCTGCAATGCAGGAGCGGCTTCGGCCAGATGCGGCAACTCGCAAGTGGGCAGCCTTTCGTGTTCCTTCGTAGTCTGGCCAAGCCCGAGGGGCGTTCCTTCCTGCTTGACCAGAAGTATCCTTGCTCAAATATTCTGCTTAAGGAGCAGGGCTATGCCTAATTCTTGTGCAATGGGGCCCAATCAAGTGGCCAGCGTACGCAGTCGGTGAGGACCTCGTTTGTGTGCAGCAACCTGCAGGGGAAAATATCTAGTACCCTTTTTCGCGGCATAGGAGATATATGGTAGTCGCTTTCTCTCACTTCCGTTTCTTTTGATTGGCGCTGGAGCCGTCATTAGTAATGAGGATATCAAGAAACAGAGCCATCTATTCTTCCCACTTTCCTCCGCCAGTTGTTCGCTTGATAACTAGATAGAAGAACACGGTCTATGTCTAATGCTGTGACTCAACCAAGCGACTACCTCAAGTAAATTGGGTGGCTGAGCACTACCAGCTGCATGTAGCTGGGTCTGGATAGCCAATGAGTTACTTCCCTTTTGGCGCCCCATTGGTGGCACGCGATTCGATGGGCGTACTTTCGATCCATCCTTCCTTTGCGTGCCACCTCAGAGATTCAAATAGCATCCAAAGCCCTTGCTCTGTGCTCCAGTGCCTTGTCTCTCTTCACTTTATATCATGAATCAGCTTGAAATCTTCCGGCAGGAGGTGCGTGGTTTCCACCCCGACCTTCTTGTAGCTATTATGATGTCTGCGCAGGCTGCCAGACTCACTAACAACTTTCCATTCACTTCCTGGGAGAAGTCAAGATTGGCTCACGAACCCGGTCCTGCTGAAGCTCTTAGCCGAGGCCTTCTTTTGATACTGGACAATTTCCGAAACTTTGACAGAGAGCGAGCCTGGCGTGTTTTAGGGGTAAGAAACTCTTTACATCTAGAATCACTGCTAACTTGAAGAAGTTTTTATTAAGCAGGAACTCCTGTATCAGCGAAGCAGCTACCACGGTCCTTTTGAGAACCACCTTCAATTCGAGTTATTTTAACTTCATAACCAACCCACTCGATTCTGCTTTGAAGCAACCTTCCCCCGAACGTGAAGACGTTCTTCGGACCCTCGCAGACAAATATCAGCATTGGCTTAGACCATCACCGCTACCATCTTCCTCCATCGATACCGGCTTTTTTACCAGAATCTATTGGGGAGCTGTCGGGGACATGGCTACAGAGATCCAGAACTTATTTAACTACGCACCAATGTCTTTCTTAGTGCATAAGTGGCGACTCTTGAGAGACACGTGCCAGTATGCATGCGATCAGGCGCAGGTTGCCATGCTACTACACATTTTGGTACCAGGCCTTCTTCCAGGCAAGTCTTGTCGCTAACGTTTACTAGGATGCCAGCACTTCTCCCTTCTTGGTTACTTGCCTGATTGATGGTATGGTTCGGGCTGGGGTTGAGGTACACGACAAGTACAGCCGGTTCATAGGTCTCCGGAAAACGCTTGAGCACGGAGCTAATTCCATGCCCTTGAACGAGGATTGTCCCTTCGAAAAAAGTGCTATTGTCACCATGGAAAGAATAATGATCAATAACAACCAACCTGACTATGCCGGGGTATTTAATGACCGTGGAGAGTTCAAATACGGAGGCTTTGGGGATGAAGAATCTGATGACCTAGAGTCTGTAAATGGCACGGGGTATGACGCGGACTCTGAAGACTACACAGAGTTGGATGATAGCGATTGGTGAGGTGTTCTCCAGAGGATTTCATACTACTTCAGTATAACAGAGGCTTAATCTAGAAACACAAACTCGAAGAAGGAAGACAAAAGACAAAGTTCGAGCCAATAGTTTAGAATCATCCTGTCTGCCAAAGACCTGTTTTCTCTCAAGGCTTGCTCAAGTACTTATAGCCGCATCTCATCACATATTCATGATCAACGAACACCCAGAGTCTCCCACCAAAGTCCAGAAGGATTGCAATACTGTCATCCCCGTCGACTTTATCCTCAACGCCCTTGATTTCACAGTCGTCAAGACATACAGAGATCATCTCGTGCCCACCACCAAGTGTCTTCAGATAGACGTCTGTCATCAAAAGACCTTTATCAGAGATGTATGAAATACCACAAGGAAGTTCCAATTCCTCATCCAGGTTTACTTCTGGGACAGGTACCCAGATTCTCCTGGCCCTGAATATGAAGATCACAGTGATGAAACCATTCTCAGCCCAGGCACCACCAATAAAGGAACAATCATGTAGATGGACAGTGACATTTGACTCGGCGTTCGTGGGCTCACCCGATTCGGTGCATGGCAGAGTAAAGACAGCATTGTGACCCGACTGGTATGTAGCGAAGATGTCATTAAGGAAGGCAGGGTAAACTTCGGTGCTCGCAGTGAGCTGGAGTTTTTGTAGCTCCGGCGCGAACAAGGCTGAATTGCCGTATCTTGGGTCAATCGGCTCCATCTGTCGGTATAAGTATTCCGATAGAACTCTGAACGCGGAAGACTATGCTCACTTCAAAAATAAGGGAGAAAGATTCTCCTCCAGCCTCACTGCTGTTTCTGTTGTCTACTATCGTCTTCCCCTTCTGTTTCGCTTTCTTTGAGCCTTGTTCCTCCTGTATCGTTTCTTTTTGATCTTGATTGACGTTTTTGCGCGGCGCTTTGTTCTGGTAGTTCGTCGGCGCGGTTTTGATTGATTGGGGCCGCGGCAAAAATTGGAGCAGAGGGCGAGGATAACAAACAGGTAGTACGCAATATAGGGATAAAGGACGACGTGAATATCCTCGTCGAGTTCAATTCCAAACGGCATGCCAGCTGGTTGTACAATGAGTACGTAGGACCCTTATATACCACAAGTTTTAGAAAGCCTCAATCCTTTACACCGGCGACACAAAAGTAAAAGATTAGTAGCCCACGCTAAGAATCCAAGAGCTTGAGGTATTTTACTATATCCGTGCGAATAACATAATTCAATATAATTAATCCGTCCTACTATGTTGAACGCCTCTGGCGTCTGCGGCTGCAAAGGGTCATCTGAAGCTGTGGCCAATCGCAAGTCGCGAGGCCGAGCCGGATCCTTCAAATGATAGTGGGATGAATGAGAAGCAAGTTCAAGGCATTACGGCTAGACATCCGTAATAAACAAAGAAAATAAAACAATTTTTTTTTTTTTAGAATTATAATCTGTTATGAGCCTAGCGCGCAGTCCTACCGAAGATCTCTCTTGCCACGCAGATTCAGGGCGCAAAGGATTCGATGGCGCGTAGAGCGGTCCCTGATAGTTCTTAGCCACCGGTGGAAGGACAAAAAAAGCCACCTTCCAGATTTAGATATAACGCCTGGCCATGCATCAGAGACTGTGGAGTGAATGGACAAGGAGTCTCAACGCCGGAAGCGGGGAATGTACAAGTTATATACCTTTTTGTCCCTTGAACAAATTATTTACTTAGGGAAAGTGAGCATATCTATTCCATGTACGCTTTTTCGGCTGCGCATCTTGTGTGAATCATGGTCAGTGAATCATTCGCGTATCCTTCCTGCCACTAACAATTACGACAGATCTCCGTGCCTAGATTTATTCTGCGAAATCCGGCCAAGTCAACTCTCAAGGTCTTCCTTGGGCGGTCTCTTGGCTCCGTTATCACTCCAGCTCACCTGCTGCTTGATACATTTGCCGAATCTATGCTACCCAACCTTAGTGACCAAGCACTCCTCATGCTTGCTCTCGTTACCTGGCACTTCGATGCGACATCTGACATACGTCAACTCCTCAGCCAACTGCGTCACATACCGGACCAAGTGCTTTCGGATGCCCCTCGAATTCTCTCCTCAGAACATCACCACCTTCTTGTTCGGTCGCTGGAATGTTCGGATGAATTTCATGCAATGTGCGGAGTACTGTCTGAAAGGTATAACGAGTTGGTTGACATACAGGTTACAAGGGGTGTATTTGCAAACGAACTTCAGCGGTTGTTGCGGGATTCCAACTGGTTATTCCTCTACTGCGTTGAGATGTATTACTTGATGGACTAAGCCAGGCATAGGTCAAGGGGGCTCAAGGTGTATATATAATATTATGCTAGAGCACCTTCTCATTCACGCAAATACTCGTCTACTTCCAATTGTTGACCTGTACACATTGCCTACTACTAGGAAACTCTCCCTCGATAAAAGCAGGTGAGTTGATCTAGATAAAAGGAGAAGTGGCTCAAAATCTCAAGTCACTAACAAGCCGCTCAAGGTGATTGATTAGTGCTAGTTCCCAAAGAGTAGGGCAGACATGGAGCTTCATAAATTTTATCTCAGCGAGGTGGCTAAAGATGCTGGTGAATGAACAGATCATGATACCCATTCAAGGAACTATAGTATTTCTTAGAGGCGCCTTGACACATTCTAGTCTTCTTCTTTTCTAATAAACTTTAATAGCTGCGCCTCCAAGAGATCCAGTTCAAGCGTCTTATCAGGAGTATACCCTCTGGACTCAAGCAGTACAAGGATCTTTGCCCTGAGAAGGGACTCCACCTTTTTAAGCTTCTTCAATATCACTTCCCTACTCTTTTCCTGGTACTCACATCTCAGAGGACTCATTTCCTTGCCAAAATTGCCGCCATATTTGAGATAATTGACCGTCCGAAGTTCCAGGAGGTCAAGAAGCTCGGATTTTCCTAACTAGGGTTCTTCTCGCTCGAGGTATCGCATGCGAGCTTGTGCGTTGCGATCTCGTTTCTGTCTGGCCTCTTTTAAGGCTGATTTGAAGTCGATGTCCCTGGGCATGAAATCAGCACAGAGAAAGACCTAGTATCTGCTGACTCACATTTCCCAGAGGTATTTGCTTGTGGAAATCGTAGGACGTTAAGAGGCGTGGGTGTTCTTGTTCTGCTTTCTTCTAGCCTTGTTTCTTCTGGCCTTTTTTGATTGAATTCTCTTCGACCTTTTCAGCGCGCGGTGGTTCTTTTGGTGATGTCCCGATAGATATTGGTCGCGCTAGTGATAAGAGCATAGGGAGAGAATAACGAATAGAGACCAAACAACATAGGGATAAAGAATAGTATATATATTTTCATCAAGCTTGATTGCGATCATTGTGCCACGCAAGCCCGGACGCAAAGGATTTAGTAGCGCAAACAGCGGTATTGATCATGGATGCCCATAAGTTGATTCCTCGCGCATTTTTTTTTCTTGGGCTGCAGGAGCTCTAACTAAGTATACTAGTTACTATGACCCCTGCCTTAACAGGCATTCCGCGCAGCTCATGTGCGAGCAGATACCGCAGTATAGCCCCTTAACCGCCACTTTTTTGTCACAGCAGCAACAGAATCGCCTGAAACGTACACGGGGTGCGTGTTGTTCCCAGCCATGTTTCCGTGCGTCTCCTGCTCTCCTCCACGGTCCCACATCACAAGGGCTGCCTTCCTGTGTCAGTTAGTATGCGGATGTCCAGCTAGCTTCTGATACATACTGTCCTCTGTTCTCCATTGTCCAAAACGTCCTTCTTTCTTGGAGTACAAAGCTCCCTCTCCGAAACGGTGTTATGCCTCTTTCGGACCTCCTTTCACGAAATCAGCGCCAAATCCCGTGATTACAACTAGACTTACTGGGCTCATATCTCTCTTGATGAAGATAATCAGGAAAATCTTTCTCATAAACAGATAGTATGATGACGGCACGACCACCAATATCGATATGAATGTTAGGACGATGCGGAACAAAGTGTGCATGTATATACAGCTCACAGACCTACGCGTGAGGATTTTAGATTCCGCGTACAGCGGCCGCTTTGCGAACAGAAAATACAGATACAAGAAGAAAGGGTTCTTGGCCAAGGTAAAGTTTATGGAAGTGGCTAGGTCTCGTATGGTAAATGGAACCTAAAAGATCAGGACATGCAATCAAATGCGGGACTAGAATAACTTTGTGCAACTCCACTAGCAGATGTTCGCCCATTCATTGGCATACCAAAGCAAAATCAAACAGAAACGGTAGGGCTGGATCTGTCGTGCTACAGACGAAGTTTAGACTTGGCATATGTATAAGGCACGGTCACCCAAACTCTCCATTGCTCATGCATGAAAAAAACCGTGATCATTTCTTTTTCGGAGCTCGGGATGTCTCGATACCCTAAAAAATCATAATGATCAAGACACACTGTGGCTCGGCAATGCACGTCGATTGTAGCCTTCTTGCGGTTGTACCGCCGGGGAGGAATCCAGAAGCTGGCCATGCGGTAGCCATAATACGTGGCAACAAGGTCATCGTCGCTGGTGATCTCGGCATCTGTTTCGATTGTGGTACTGATAGAAATTTCCCCCTGTCCGGAGAATGCATTAGAAAGGATGGCTGTTAGTTGGACTGTACTTACGTCCTCATACTCCACTGGAGGGTTGTCATTCAAGGGAGGTAGAAACCGGCGCATACTGCGGAACAAGAACAAGGCTCTCAAACGATCCATGATGCCATCGGGGCGTGGAACTGTGGCGGCACCTGTGCTATTGGTCTGCAAGTCCTTTTGGTACCACCCGAGGAACTGGGCGATGAGGGTATACCAAGGCATGGTCGAAGGAAGCGTGCAGGAGACGATCTGAGAAAGGATGAGGCAGGCTGGTCTGTGCCAAATTGCGGTGTGCATCTGGGGACAAGGCTGGCATTTTTATAGACCATGTTGGGATGTTGATGTCTTAGTTATGTTTGAACCATTTTTAGTAGATGAAAACAAGGAAGTGAATCCTTTTGGACGAGTGATCTTTTGGTCTCTCCTAGAGATACACTGTTGAGTTGTTGCACCTACATTACATTCCATTACATTGCACCAGTGAGCATCACACAATCTCCAGGTACCATCGTCGATGATCGCTGAACCTTGTTGCGAACCCAGCCGGTCTAGACCGATTTGATTGCATTACATTACCCTGCATTGCATTTCTTTAGATTACCCTACAAAAGTCGAGAAAGCTTGGCCGGTTGACAGCACCATGTGCAATCTCGCGTATTTGATATCCCAGAGTCAGAGAATGAGTCTTTTTAGTAGCTGCGATCGTAAACATTCAAATATTCTTGATTTTGCTCTGTTTTCCTAAAAGTCGGGTATAAAGATTGCCAGGGTCTGCTTCTCAGCTCTTGCAGCAAGTACATGATTTTGCAATTCTGCTCTCCTCATTTCCGATAACGCCTTGCCATTCTTCATTCCCGAGAAAAGGGACACAAAAAGCCCCTATACTTCAGAGCTTGCAGTGTGAGCTTTGCCGATTCCTGACCAGTGTGGGTTATGTTCCTTTTATTCGAAAACGCGCCGAAGTTAATCCTTATTAACCAGAGTGTAGAGAAAATGCTTACCATGGACTGCCTAGATCTCAGGCGCGTATCCCGAGGACCGACTTCCCAACAGTATTTTGATCAAAACCCCCCCCCTGGCACGACAGAATGTCATCAAAAGGTCCACGAGACGATCAAACAGATGATATGATTATGGCATTCTTTTAGCCAACGGACCGAATTTTTCCGGCATCCACCCTCAGACACACAAGGTGATTATGTCACGAGCGGAGTGTTCATGGTTCCTTCTTGGTACTGTACCTTTCTACCGTGATCTCTCCACGCAAAATCAGTTCGTTCATGCCTCAGCGATTACCGACCGACACACTTTTTCGCTTCCGTTTTTCTTTCGATTATTCCTTTCTACCCTACCTCTTTAGGTTTCTCATCTCGATATAATGGGAATCCTACGTTTATAAGTGACCAAAAAGCTGATCAACTGAAGACTTTCACCGCCTCCCACGCATCTATACACCAACTGGCTGCTTAAAACCGTGTGGTAGGTATTCAACCCAAAGAACCAAGTTGTCATTCGGGCTAAGTTTTTGTCCCCTTTTCAAACAGAGGACAAACCGAGTGCATCTACAACTTCTCGATAACACCCGCAATATGGAGATAGACTTCTGCCTCGATGGCATGAGCTGATTCAAGTTCCTTGCAGAGTGGGCGGAAAATCGGAAAATCAGTTTCAACAATAATCCGGCCTCCGACGTGGGGCATCCCACTTACCTCATCGGGCACCCATGAGTTTTGCGGTTCACATCCGTCTTTCCTGCCGCTTTCTCTATACTGCTGCGAAGCTTCAAACCTACAACACGTATCTCCTTATTTCGTTTCGGGCTGTTTCCATAAGCTGTACCTACCGTCCGTTATACGCGCCGCTACCTCGCAACGAAACCTTTTACCACGTCGAGGCAAACGCCCTACACCAGGAGCTCGAGAATACTTCCATCAGCAGATCATGGAACAAAAGTTAGCAGAGGACACACTTGAAGAAAAAATGAATCCCAACGGTCCAGTTAGTTGAACATTGTCCTTTCCTCCTTGTCTGTGCTCTTTCTGTTAGAGCTAACATCCGAAATCTCAACTAGACTATATATGACGTGTGGAAACCGGCAGACGGGCTGTTTAAGGCCGAAGCTACCGCTAAATGGATTTATTTCAGATCAAGGAGCGAAAGTTCTGATGGTTTTGTGAGAGTTGTTGGAAGAGAGGAAGGATATACAACTGGTGATATAAGCAAATTCTTTGTGCCTCCCTACCATAGTTGTGAAGTCTTAGGGTGCGAAATTATGTTCATTCGAGCTTGAGACTTGTCATCCGAAACTCATGAATCGCCTGCATTAACAATGTGCGATTCACTCTGATATTGCAGGATCCATCTTCATGCTCGTTTGTGGGAATGATAATGGTCACGCAACCTGTAGTGTTGCCTCCCTGAGATTCCTCTTTAGCCCATTCTTGGCTAGAGGTAATCCCCTCCATCATCTTTTCAAGAAAAGATGAAATATCACTGCGCCGCACAAGCGAATACGCGAATTGGATTTCTATACCAGTTCAGTATGACTCCATAGAAGAATTACATCTTTACTTACGCCTCCGTTCTCTCCGCGGAAAAAGAGATTTCATAAAGGCCAGGTACCGCCGATTTGCAGCGAATCCTTGTTCTGCTGCTATGGATTCTAGGAAACTCTTTGCTTCAGGGCCAAGTGCGAAGTAAAATTCTTCGTAGTCCAAACGTACTAGACACTCCAGGACTTGGTCGAACTTTTTTTTGGCACATTGAGTCGGAGTAATGGACAGAATCACAGCCAAGAAGAGATGCTCATTGGCGTCCTGAATTGTTCCATAAGCCTTCCGGGCACGTGTTCTCCGCCATTTCGTGACTGGCGTTTCGTGATCATCAGGGGCATCGTCAACCCAAGCAAATAAAAGACGACGGTCTTCTTTCAATATCTTGCGATCTTGTATGCTTAAACCGTGGCTTTTCAGGCTGATGACCTTGTTTCTGATAATATCTAGCTCCATGACTTTTGGTAAGCTATGATAAAATGATCGTGGGTAATTTGGGATGGAACGGATTGGTGTGAAATGTAGGGGAATGTAATGGAACGCAATGAAAGGACGACACTTCGAGGGAATTTATCCTTTTCCGGTTGGAGAACCCTCTTTCCATTAAAGGCCCCGTGCAGATTTTAATTTATTACATTTCATTGCATCACACAACATTTATTTGTACTAGTAACAAATCATAGCGCTTGATAGGTCTCATGTGATGTGGAGTCTGGTCGTCACAGTTGGTACATTGTCATAGCGCCGAGGCTGAGATCGATTGGACGTTGAAGCTGAACAGTGGGCTCCGAAGCTCTTTGGTCACACCTCGTCCCCGGACACCCAGATAGGGACGTTTCTCTTTGCATTGCACTGCATCGTGCTGCGGAATGCCCGCTTTGTCCATCAGATGCTTTGACCTCCTCACAAGAACAATTCTCCACATCGGCGCTCATGACAAGCTCACATTGGTTCCACATACGGATCACAAGTGTTGGCTTAAACCAATAGATTAGCGTTATCCCAATATGGATACTGCCCGAGGCGCCCATGCTCCGCGCCGGGACGCCACGGCATTACTCCGTAAGTTGATTTCAGCCTTTTCAGCACCAATTGAACGGTGTGTGCAGATTTCAGTTCGTTACGTTACACTGCATTACACCACATCTCATTTGTACTAGTAACGAATCATAACGCCTGATACATCTCATGTGGAGTTCGAGGGTCACAAGCTTGGTATGTTTGGAGCTGCACAGGAGGCACTTATCACCCTCATGAATTCAACTGCATTGCTGATCCACCAATGATATAGACTTTTGAGTTCTTCCCGATCTGCTGTGTTGAACCCGCTCGGGCCCCATCCAGACTCCTCAGTCTCAAGTGACATAGGCAACACGACTGTCATCCTTTTATCGCACCAAACAACGCGCATGTCCGTTCAAAGCGTGGATCGAAGTCTGAACTAACAGACAGATCTTCCATGTCTTTGACCGGATATATAAGACGCCAGATGACATCTAAAGAATGACAAGACAGACTTCATTGCACAGCCATCTGTCTGCTCTAAGTGAGTGTTCAATTCCTGCTCTTTGTCGCGATACTGACAAGCCTCATTGAACAGCATCCATCTAACCTCGCGACACAAGTTCTCCTTGTATTATCATGCCCTCTAAGACCCAAAAGTCGCTTGAGGCTCTCATGGCCTACATCAAGCAGTCGAAAAGCCGCCGCACTACGATCTTGCGTGGGCAAGGTGAGCCTGGTCACCGGGCCGCCCCAGCGCGCGGGGGAAACCATGATGCAAGAATCGGAAGCCGCATTGATATTGGAGAAATCGTCAAAAAAGCTGGCAAGGAGTATCGACGGTACAAATTCCAGCTCAATTCGAACGCGGAAGATTCCACGCTCAAGAGAAAGGCTGCTCAAGATTCCCACAAAGTTTATTCGACTGCAGATGTGGAGATTAAAGAGAATAGGACCCCGGAGGAAGAAGAGCAGGCGATGCGGGACTTCGAGGAGGAAATGGCAAAGAACTTAAGAGAATAGGCATGGCCATGTCATATAGTTTCACACCTTAGCCCACTATACATTTCTTCCGCCTCCATTATTTCAAAGGTCTTGTTCGAGGCGCGAATGTGCACCGTAAGGATTCGAACTCAAGTTCTTGGTGGCACAGCGACCGAAACGGCGACCTCTCAAACTCTGCGGGGGCCGGAAAGACCCGTTGTGCACCACACACTCTCTCTTTTGTTTTTGCGCTTTTTTCGTCCCAGCAACCTTCAATTAGCCATACGTAGGAGAGAAATCCCTGTAGCAAAGACTAGTTGTTGACATTGTTCCCTCGTGATAGTTGGCGATTTCTCCTAGCTCACGGAGAAGCAAGATCAGACAGACTGTTCCAGCCATTGGTCCCTTCAGGTCTTTAAATGCCTATTTCCAGAATTGAAAGACCGTGTAGTGATTTGATTAATCACCAAAATCCTTAACTCGTCATAGTGGTTTCAGGAGGAAAAATGGTGGCCCCCATTCCAAACCGGGCGGGATAATTTGCTGACAAACAAGCTAGACCTAAAATGTCCTGGCGCCTGCACATGATCACGGGGATGATCCACATACTAACGGCCTCAAATCTTCCCTCCACACCACCAGCATTGATCATCTCTCAGTTTGCACAGCAAAAAGCATCCTCCGAATTGGTTTTATTATTACCAACACCCCGATGCTCGCGTGATCAAGTGCTACCTCATCTTCCAGGGACTTACGTTTCGTTAGAAATGCGCCGACCACCGTCCGCCCGTCCTTGGTGTTACGTTCAGAGTAAACTACCAAGCCTGAAACAACACTGCCGCTCAATCTCCGAAGCTTCACCTTTATCCTACCATCACCGTCCCGAGAGCATGGATATGGGCTCTTCTCAGACAGGTATGCACGCCCATAGAAACGCGACTTAGCATATTACTGATCGTGTCAGATTGGAACTCTAACGATGAATTCTTTAAATTCACACGTGGCCGCTTTATTATCGATGAGGTAGAGAACCTTCGGAAGCGAGAGATTAGATTTGACATGAATAGCCTTGCAAGAGTCGCAGCAGAATCCATTGGAGCTGCTCGATGCATCGCTATCAAGAAGTACCCTGACGGAATGTTCAACAAAGCGTTCCTCATGTCTATGGACGATGGCCGAGAAGTTATAGCCAAGGTTCCCAACCCGAATGCTGGCGTTCCACACTTTACTACTGCCAGTGAAGTTGCCACGATGGACTTCGTAAGTTTATCCTGAGCTCCATCATCATCGAGTTTTGCTAATACATCTGATTTGGGAGGCCAGGAAAATTCTTAACACACCAGCGCCTCGTGTACACACATGGAATTCGCAAGCCAAATCACACCCTGTTGGGGCTGAATTTATAATCATGGATAAAACCGAAGGTGTTCCTCTGTCCCAAGTTTGGGGCACAATGAAACTACCGCAAAAGCTCCAAGTGCTTCTTGCTATGACACGCCTCCAGAAACAATGGCTAAGCGTTTCATTCTCGCATTACGGCAGCTTATATTACACAGAAGACGTGCAGCCACTACGGGGTAACCATTTCGTCAAGGATGGCAAGGCTGTGAGAGATTCGGAGTTTGCCATTGGCCCGGCTACAGGCCGAGATTGGTGTGACGCAGGCCGATCAAACTTGGACGTCGAGAAAGGGCCATGTACGTTATGGTACGTTCCGTTCTTGTACAGTTGCTAATAAGTTTACAGGGGCTTCTCTAACACAGTATCTGCAAGCAGTCGGGACGCGAGAGGTGAAGGCAATCCAGTCTCTAGATCCTCCGAAATCGACCGCCTTGTTCTGTGGCCCAAAGCTTTACCAACCAGACACGGAAAAGAAACTTACTGCTTTAGCATACTACCAACAAGTCGTCGATGCCCTTATTCCAAAGGATACAGCCATTACCAGACCCTGCCTCTGGCATAATGATTTGCATGATGACAACGTCTTTGTAGACCCGCATAATCCCGAAAAGGTCACGGGCATTATTGACTGGCAGTCTTGTCACATCTCGCCCCTCTTTAACCACAATCCCGATCCAGCATTCCTTGATTGGGATGGCCTTGAGCCTGAGACGCTTGATTTGGCACCACGGCCGAACCTCTCCGGGCTTTCGCCTGAAGAACAGTCCGCGGCTGTACATGAGTATACCATCCAAAACGTGTTCATCGGATGGCGGAAACTCATGCATGCCAAAAACCCAGACCTTTACAAAGTAGTCGAATTTCGAAGGACAGCAGCTTACGGGCTGATATTTCTTGCCCACCGAATGTTCGAATACGGCGAGGCGCACTTCCAATCGCTTCTGGTTGACCTGAAAGACACGTGGTCGGACTTACCTGCCATTACCAGCGACACCCACTTCCCCTTCGACTTTTCAGAAGCAGATTTCGAGCGTATTAAACTGGATAGTGATGGTGCAGTGGCAGGAACCGAGCTTGTTGCGGAGGTCAAGGAGAGAATGGGCGATTTGTGGCCGGACAAAGGGTTTATCGAGCATGAGCGATATGAAGAGTGCAAAGCTGCCCTTCACGAAGTGAAAGGCCTGATCTTGGAGCAATTGGCTGAAACTGACGAGGAAAAGGCTGAGTACGAGCGCTGTTGGCCATTTGACTGATTCTTTATTCTTCTCCTGCCCCAGGTCTGTCCCTATTGGAAGATCTCCGCTTGACTACGTTGTGGCTATTCTTGCAATTAGTGTGAATGCATTGCTAGTTTTTTTTCCTGAACCATTCTACTAGTGGTTCTAGGCACTTCCTATCCTACACCCTATGTACTTGTCGGGCATTTCTGGCCTTCCTTAGCTTTGTATGGCGATGGCCACTTGTCTACGCTATGAGTATCTAAGTTGCCCGGAACTGACCTAGAAGTCCCGGCCTGAGGATTATCTTGACTGCCTCTACTGCCAGTGACGAGCTACAGAGCACTTGCTTAATGTTAATATATGGATGTTAGGCTGCCCAATTAATGGTTCAAGAGCACTCCTTCCACAACAGGTTTATGTCCTGATTTCCTACTACTTACGCCATCATATCGCCGGGATTGGGGTATGTTTGGGGTATAATGCGGTAGAAATGCAGTTTAAAGGAGGAAGAAAGAAAGGACACCAAAACTGAACATGAAGGAGGAGGTTGCGGAAGCAACCGTAATGTCAGTCAGTGAGTAGGATATTGTTCTAAAGCGACCGACGGCGGCACGGCACCGAACGATTATCGCGCGATCTGACAGTCACTGCTACAAACCACTGAATGGGCCCTCTGCGATTTCAATACTCGAGATGACTATAAAGAACTCGTTGTCATTGGGCACTGCCTGGGCTCGCCTTGAATGAACGGAAGCGTACCCTTTACCAAGCGGGTTCCTGTCTCTTTCCTTCGCCTTACTCTAGATCAGATATCTTGGCATGATATAGAAGACCTGATAATTATCCCTAATAAAATGGTTTCTCGGAATAAACGCATTTAAAGGCAGGGATCTTTTCCCACTTGCGGATATCATCGAGCAAATCTTCCAGAGAATCATCTTCATGAGTAAGGATCTCATACTCACAATCAGCTTTCCTCATGCTTACACTCGTGACGGGATACGCCGCCGTGGATATTCCGCGTTTCTCTAGAATATCTTTGGCGATTCTTATTACTGAAAGACCGGTGGGCTTCTTGACACGTCTGAACTCGCCCAAAGGAAGCTGGCAAGGATACTGAACTTGTACCAGTATCGAGTAGCCTCTCGGGTTTTTGCTGCAGGACTCCGAATTCTCAAGTGAGTAGGTCGGCGACTCTTCCGACGTTGCGGGAGTATAGTTGGGCTCAGAGGCGGGATTGGTTTGCTCTGCCGTTATGGACTTGTCAGCTATTGTCCTTAATTGAACGGCGGAATATTGCACACCTTCGTGAACAAGCCCAACCTGTTCATCTGATCGCAGAGCTTGATAGTTTTCACCCAGAGCTTGGTCTTCTTCGTTCAACAGTAGAGCGTCCTCATCGTCCTTATTAACATTTTTTCCTCCTTCCTCCTCTTTTACCAATGTCATATCTTGGTCAACAGTGACAGCTGCTATCTGCACACTAGGCAGATTTATCTCACATGAGGGTAAATCTGCCTGCTTCATTTGCGTATGTTCAGCAAAGTACCCCTCAACTCGCTTTTGCGACATCTCGTGCAACTTTTCCAGTACTTTCGTATCGTACAAGCTTGATGCTTGCAACACTTGAACTCTCTCGCCCTCTGGCCCTACCCTGTATGCTATGGCGTTGTAGCCATTGCCCACAGTACACGTCAAGACATCAACCTCTTCCTTAAACAGGAAGCGAAGATTTGCTGCGACCATCGTTAATATGGTAGTCTACAAGGGACGAATAAAACTGCACCTATTGTCTGTTCGCGATGGAACAGCAGCGCGGAACAATTCGATATCTTCTTCATATTCGAACTAAATAAGTAGATGTCACAATTGAGAGTGTTTCCTTCGGGAAGATCAAAGTTTATATATCTTCGATACGTTGCAACTCTCACATAACCTTGCAACCTAGAGAATGTTGAGAATGCCACCGTCACATCGGAGCATACTTCAGTAACAGTCTCCGCATTGAGACCGAGACCGAGACCGCTCCAGGAGAGACTACTCCGCTCAGCCAGCCGTACAAGATAGCGATTAGATATAGATACTCTGATAGCCAGAGCCCGCTTTTTGATGGTAGTGCGGGGGACGGTCTCGCTGGAGATGACTTCATGGTACGTGAGCCACTGCCTGATCTAAAGCGATCTAAAGCTACTGTCTAACGGTCACATCTTCACCCAACAAGCCTCGTCTATACTGCTCCGCAAGCCATCCAACAGGCCGGCAACGAGCGCTCTTGAAACGACCTCTACGACGCGATGACCGCGTAGAATGTATACCTCGACGGAACTATATTCCACGGGAGCGGACAAAAGATTCGAACCAGACTACGTCTGTCAAGGTAAGCAGATGCATCTCTAGCATTATTATATATCCTCCCCTCCGTCCAACCGCTGAGCACCTCCATGAATCCCAACCTCGCGAACAGCAAATATGGTTCTAGGAAGCTGGCATCATGCATTCTCTTCCTGTGTTATACATATTAAGCCTCCCGGGTCCATAGATTAGGACAGGAAGTATCTCAGGACCAGATATATTTATCTAGAATCAGGAAAGATCTAATACGTACAGAGACACAGGATAGCTCGAGAAAGTATTGGGGCATGTGGCTGGAGTGGAAGAAGGAAGCAGTTCTAACAGGAGCGGCTTAAATTTCTAAAAGCAAAGAACGGGGAGCCATGTATTTATAGTTGTACGCTGCATAGGTGCCACTAGGGCGAAATATTCTCGAACGAATCAGAATGGGAGCGAGTAGCCGACAGTGATTTCTACGGGGTGTTTGAAACATCGAGGGATACTGTAAGATGAAAAGAATGCTTCCCGCATGTCCCTAGTCCGTACATAATCAGGAGATAATTAGATAAACGATTGGTTTTGAAAAGCCTCAACTCGCTTTCTTGCTGAGAGTCGTACACCAGTAAACCTGTATCGCGCCCTGACTTCTCCCTGGATACTGCTTCGAGAATACCCTCGTCACATCTGACCATGATCGACCTTCGTTCTTCCTCAGCTTCACTAGGAGGTCCACCTCTTCCGTGGACCATGGCATACCCTTTCTCGAGCTCTTTCGGACACTCTTGCAAACACTCCGACTTTGGTCGATCTCGGACCGGGGACTTGAGCGACGGCTTTCCCGTGCCTTTAATTCTTCACATGCTGTTTGTGAGGTGTCAGACATGCAGTGAGATAATGCACCTTCAAAGAGCCAGGATAGAAATTGCAAACGGTCATCCAGTGGTAGAGACGTGAACTGAGACCGAAGGGCAGCGAAGGAATCTTCCCTGGGTGCTGAAGTGGAGCGAACTCGAGGTGGCTTGCGTATTCCGCCGTCTGATTTTCGTGTTTTTCGCTTAATCTGGTGCTTCCCATGGCTGTCAGGGAAAGACTGGTCTGGTCCGGTGCCGGGCGAGGGAGGTTGCATTCGTTGGCAGCCATAACAAGTTCCCTGAATACCGCCATTATCACTACCATCACTTTCGTCAGGCACTTCAAAACGGCTAGCTGGGCTGCTGAAGATGGCTGGAGGTTCAGGATACAGGCAGGTTGTCTCCGGATTAGTGATGCCGTCTGCTGGGGGGGCATGTAGCTGGAGGTCGTCACTCTCCCAAGGCCCGAGATTGGCAAGAATCACCGGATCAATGGGGATGTTGTCTTGGGGCGAGTCTGGCATCCTGAAGAAGTCCTCTAGACTATTGGTCGAGCTAGATGCACTCGGAGATGGGACATTACGCGCTGCGTCATCTGCCTGGAATCCAGGCGGCTCGGTAGGGGTTCTAGTATCGTCCTGAGCATAGCAGGGGCGGATCAGATCCGGAGCAGGAACATGGGGCATAGAACTCTGTCGAGACGCGGTACTACGCCCGAATGTCTCTGACTCCAGCTGGGTGTTGGCACTGACATGCACGCAGACTTCGGCCGGTGGTCGCGCTGGTAGGTGATGTTTGGGAGGCGGTAAAGTGCCTGGAAGTAGAACATGAGAGGGCTCAGGGTTAGGGGTAATGGAAGTTCGTGGGAAGCACGCATTGAGTGTTCTGTGTGGTGGACACGGTTTCGCAGGAAGAGGGGTCCATGGCTTGAAATTATTTATCTGAAATGCAGGAAGCATATTGTGGGAATTGGGGTAGTTTTGGAGGTATAACACGGCGGTAGAGATGCGATTTGAAGGACGAGAGAAAGAAGGGAACTGGAGGAGGAAGGGCAGGCTGTGGAAGAATCAACGTGAGATGCCCGAAAGGTCTTGTGGGCCCCAATCGTCCCCTTATACCTCCCTCCTGGGTCCGTTACTGTCCAGCATCGGCAGAAGCAGCAAGGCAAAATCCCCTTGCCCGCAAGATCATGACCGGTCTGCTGACGTGCCCACGCTCACCTGCGTACGCTGGGCTGAAACCAAGACCTGGTGCCCGGCCCCAATCGCATCTCTTCCCTGCAATTCCAAGCGTCGCATGCCCAAGACACGGAAATGAAACAGATGCGGCAATTTTGCCATTGGCTGGTGAAGCAAGGCAAGGATATGTGATCAGATCCCAGTGGGGTTCGGACATGGCCGTGGAGGGTGGGGAGAGATGCAACCCTGTTCACCCGAGCGGCACCGGCAGGCTGCGCGACAGGGGTGGTATCTGGACGATCAAGAAACTGCCCTCCCCATGTCGGATCTCGAAAGCCCATGGCAAGCAGTGCGCCAGGTTCCTCATATCGAAGACTGCATCGAGGTAGAAGGAAGGGGATTCCAAAACGGCGCGAGGGAAAGATAAAACGGGCTGACGGGAAATGTTAGCCAAAGACTCCCAGGTTGCTGAACGCCGCGCGGAAGGCCCCCAAATCACAAGAGTCAGTGACTGGGCAGAATCACAGGTGGTGGGTGGGCTCATCAACCAATCGAAGTAATGGTCACAAGGACTTCACGTCTCAATCGTAAAAATAACCCGTCGTCGACGCCGCAGCTGAAGGGGGCGAAGCGAGGAAGGTGGAGATGGCGCCGTGCTGGAAAAGGAGCATGTCCGGATAACGCGGCATCTTGAGGGAAAAAAAAAGGAGGGGGGGAGGCAGTGCACACTAGGCGCCCTGGGACGGGAAGAGGGAAAAGTGGAAGAGAAGAGTGCGTGGTCGTTCGAGGGAGGGAGGCCGGGCTTATATAGATGCAACGGCAGCGTTGGGGCGGCAGGGGCAGGCATGTAAAAGCGGCGAGACTCCACGCTATCCTCGAAACGGCCGGCGCTATACCGCAAAGGGCAGTGGGATGCCCGTCGACGGCAGGCGGTGGCGGGCGGCAGGCGGACGGTGCAATGG